CCCCCAACCTTTTCTGCACATAATAGTTCTGCTGCTCTGTATGCCTCCCCTCTCCTGTACAAATAACTAGGAACAAGGGCATTTGGTAAATTTTTACTTTCACTCCCACACTCAGATGCACTGCTACTGAGGGTAAACTGGCTGTATTTTTTGCTGCAGTCGTACACATGTGGCCTTTAAATACGGTCGCAAATGAATTAGATTCTACATGTATTTTCAAGAAAATCTCGAACCTAATTGCAAAACATCAAATTATGGGGAAAAACAGGGGCATGCCTCCCCCCCCCGTAACCCCCTGGATAGGTCCAATGAGTTCATGTTGTCTGGGGAGTGAAAAATATCAACCCATCCGAAATTCAACTTAACTGTTGGGAACTGTAAAGAAGAAGAGGTCCTGGGACCCGAGAAAAAATCAACTTACTGAATATAAACTCTAGCAAGTTCCACAAGTGGAGTTGACTGTAGCATTGTATATTATGTGCACATACATTATACCCGCTCAACACTAACAGCAGACTCTTTTCACTCAACAATCTATGTCATTACCTCAGGGGAAGGACTTCCGTAAGGTGCGACCACCTCAACAAACTCAATAAATAAGAGACCTAACCCTAACCCAGACCAAACCTCTACCCCAAACTCTAACCCTCTAGTCTAGTCTACTGTTTCTTTAGTGGTCGCTCGTTTACTGTGACAGAATTCCTCCCATCTCAGCAGACCCTAGAACATTCAGAATCATTCTTGGCTTCCTGGGAAGCATACACTCTTCATACAGAGCAAAAAGCCAACTAAAATAAAGAGCTCAAACATTAATAAACTAACAAAGATAATTCGTTGTCTATAGCCCAGTCAGGTATCCATCCTCACCTGGGTGAAGTGAGGAAAATTCATGATCATATAAATACAGGGTGATAAAAAAAAACAACCTACAACTTTTTTCCCTAATATCTCGCACAAAATTTGTACTAGAATGTTGTAATTTGGAACTGATATATATAATTCATTCAAAAGGAATTTTTTAGACATAAATTTACAAATAATATAAACTAATTTCCTATATGCAAAATGCACCAATTAAAAAAATCTTGTAAGGAAAGTCATGAAATGATTGGTTTGTTTTTTTCTACTTTCCTTTTATTTTAAAAATCTACTCTTTCCATCATTGTAACCTTTAAATAATATTTCTTTTTCCTACAGAGTTAATTTTTCTTTTAAATTCTGAAATTCCGAGAACCAATGGTCTATATGTCCTGTCCTTCTTTGGACTTGGCACATTTGAACGCGTCGTTTGTAATATTCAGAGGTGGCCAAACACAAAGATCCACTCAACCATGAATATTCAGAGCCAAACACACGGTACACCTTACAGTATGCAGCTGTTTGAGTGTTCCTAGAGACAATAGGGGAGGTTGCCCAAGTACACAGCATTTGTGGAGTTGATATAACCTGAAGGTGAACATGGGCTTTGCCAAGGAACCAAATGTCATATGTTCATGCTTTTCAAACGATTGAGGAATCACGAACACATTAATTACTATCCTCTGATAGTTTCGCGAACAGGAAAATGGTACAGCCGTAAATGAAGATATGACTTGAGAATGCAGACCGTTGAGATGTAGGGGAGTCATTGCTACAGGCATCGTCTACGGACAGACATCTCATATGGGGCTCATCTACTGAAATCTGCACCCTGTTGACATTTAAAGGGGTGCAGATGGTGTGTGTTTGGTAGAGTTGGGTTGGGCTCGCTAAATCAGCGTCCGCGAGTAACGAACTACTCGCGCTTGTGAATAGTAGTTCGCTACTCGCTAAACATCGGACAGAGACAACAGTTCGTTTAGCGAGCGGGTGGACGGGTGGACAAAGAGACTCCATGCATTCGAGCGGGTGGACGGACGTATGGGGAGCGAGTCCTTCTATTGCATACTTCTTACACCCCCCCCCCCCGAAAAAAAAAATCACCCTCCTGGCCCACATTGTTTGTAGCTAGGCGTTCACAGCGGAAATTTCTCTACCCCCCCTCCCAAAAAAAGGCCTTTGGGAATTCGTTAAGCTTTGACTTCCCAATAGTTGGAATGTAAACAGCGTGACCCACGCAAGACGTGAAAGGTTATACACATAGTTAGTACTACGTCACCTGCCTCTCTCACTCCCTGCGGCACCGCTAGTGGCTTGAAACATTAGGCCTAATTAACAAACAATAAATAGACAATGGGTCTAATCTCGCGTTGAGTATCTCGTCTGCTTGAGTTTGTCCGTTCGCCCGCCCGCTCAGTGAATAAAACTGTGGAGCGGACCTAAGAAACGAACTGACTTGAGGCTTGAGGTCCGCAGTCCGCTCGCCGAGAGAGTAAAATTGTGGAGCGGACCCAAAAAACAAACTGTCTTGAGGTTCCCAGTTCGCTCGCATGGCGTCCGTTACCTGTTCGCTCTGACTGAGTCCGCGAGTAACGAACCCGTCCGTCCGCTCGTCCCAACTCTAGTGTTTGGTCTGAAGTGGTCGTCTTGTCTAGGAATTTTTAGTTCTGATTCTCTACAGGTCCTAACTGATGGACCTTTTCCACCCTTGACATCAAAGAAGGCCATAAGGGCACTTAAACAATATTTCCGTGCCTTGTGCGAAACTTACGAACTGAGTTGGTGGAGGGAAATGTTCAATACAAAAAGCCCTCTGCTCTTTACTATTCTTAACCATGATCTCAGCAGACAAAGGAAACTTGAGAAAAACTATCTGCAAACTTCTGACTTCTGTTGGCCTGTTAGACTGCTGTAACCATAGATCTAGATCTAGATCGGGCTTTTTTGAGTATACTATGTGCGTGTTTTTCCCCCCCTGTTGTTTGCTGTTCATGGTGAGAAATGGCCTTCACCCAGCCCATTAAATAAACTAAAACTGAAACTTATCTACTACTGTATGTTAGCACACCTGAGGGGGGGGGGGGGGGGGGTGAGAATAGCGAGACATATATTTTCTATATATAGGGCCATAGGCTTTTCTCACCCCTAACCCCTTCCTAGATAGATCTATCTAAAATAAATATCAGAAAAATTCCTTTTGATTTCCAAAAGTTGTGTACAAATTTGAAATACAGAACTTTAGTGTGGAGGAAATATTAACAAAAAAGTTGAACAGTTTTTTTTATAACCCTGTTAACCTGTTAGATAGAGACATAAAAAGTCAGTGCATGTAGTCATGTAGGGCCTACCGTATGATGGCGCAGACAATAATACACGGGATTTATTTTCTAGGAGGAACTAGAATCTATATATTCTAGATCTAGAGTCTAGGAAGAAAAGAAATACGATAAGAAGACAGCAGTAGAATCTAATTTCTACATCTGATTTCCAGAAGTCTACGGTATCCCGAAGTCTACTTCGCAATCAGTTACAACAGGAGCAGGCTTTAATAAAAAATTATTTTTTTTGCCATTTGATGGTTTTCATTTTCACCAGCAGTCCATCCACTTGACCTGAGCTTGTTGAATCCCTGCCTGATAGAATACTCGGGAAAATACAGTTAAATAGAACCTCCAGCCCCCCCCCCCCCCCCCCCCCCCCCAAAAAAAAACACAAAAAATCCAAGATATTAAATTCACAAACCTTTAAAATTCAAGAACAGTACTGTGAGTGCATGCCACGGACGTCTGATTTATTTACATGCCGCTTCCTACAGCTGACACTGACAGGAGGCCGGGTCAAAACAACGCAAACTGCGCAAACAAAAAACATTACACTTTTTTAAACTTTTGAGACGATGGAGCTCTAACAGAAATTTAAAAAATGTAACCTTTTTTCCAATTTCAAAACTGTTACACTGCTGTCCACATCACCATTTTGCGTAAAGTTAACTTAATGACAATACAAATTTATTGAAAAAAATATGAATTTAGTTTTAAAAGACTTGATACTCATTTTCCATGTTAACCCTGGGTCGGCCTTAGTTTGTTTTTTAATCCACAGTACCATCAATCTTTTTATACAACTGTTGTTTGCAAATGGCGACGCCTTGTAAACAAAGCTTCCGCACTCTATTCAATGCCTGTCTTAGTATGCTGGATAGGTTCCAACAATCGAATTATATTATTGTTCTCATAAAACAAACAATTACAACAAAACAGCTACTGATGTATACCAAAGATGTGTATACTCTCATACTTGCGTGTCTCATACTTCAGGTGGCCGAGTATTCAAAAAAAAAAAAAAAGTAAAAATGATTATAGAATAGAGCCAGAGGATCATTCTCACTCTCAGTGGTCAGTGGCAGTGGTGGAGGGCTTTGGTTTCGTTTGTGTGCTAGCTTTGAATTTGAGTGAGTATGATAACTGACAATAAGAATAAGCGTGGACTTGGTGAATTGGCTCGTTTGTCAGCTGAACTTTGTGATATACTTGACTCGGTGTCAGTTCATGCAGTCTGGACTGCTCACCGATCCCTGTCCCTGTTACTGTTCTCTTTGTTGTTGCAGTAGCAGTACTTTAGAACCATGGCTGGGAATTTCAGTGTTGCATTTGTGGCTAATTGTGTGTGTCGAGATTTTGGAACACAAACTTTTATTACTTTTGAGGATATGAATCTTCTTATTACTGGCATGGTTCCAGAGAAGATTTCAATGGGCGAGAAATCTGGACAAGAGAGACACAATAAGAACATTTTTTATCATCAGGCCACAGATGACAGTGGTATGGACCCTACAACACCAGACAATACTGCGGTTGCTAGGACAATAACAAAGTCCAGCAGATCTGATACTGAAATAGGATTGCCTGAATCTCAATTGATCATAGAGCAGTCGGATATAAAAGCAAAGCACAGATCTGCTGTTGTCAGTGATCAAGAAATTTTGAAAAATGGTCACTGCAGTAATTACAGCCCTAAAATGAGTGATGAGACCACAACGTCCCTGATTATTCCCTGTAATGACGAGTATGGATTGACAAAAGCTGAGAATGATGGTTTTAGGAATTCTGTGAATTCACCACTAAGCAATTTCCGTAGTTTGTCAGAGAAAGTTCAAAGTTCTGACAGAACTAAAGGAATGACAATTTTGAAAAGAAAAACTAAACCTTCAGATACATCTAATATCGATGCTAACGTGAAGGATGGATCTCAGACAAGGCCCCTTTCAACATGTCAGTATTGTTCTAAAAAGTTCTCCAAAAAATACCTTCGGGTTCATATGTGGATTCACGAAAAAGAAAAACAGTTTTCTTGTGATCTGTGTAAAAAGAAATTTCTCAGAGCACGTGAACTGATTTCTCACAAACGCACTCATACTGGAGAACGGCCTTATTCTTGTGCTGTTTGTTCGCAGAAGTTTGTCAGTGCCAGCTCCTTGCGCAGACATGAATTGCTTCACAACAGGGAAAGTGACGAGAGCAGGCAACTGGTTTCATCTTATGGATGTGATATTTGTGGAAAGGTAAAATTTTGAAGGTATCTTTTATTATAGTAACACAAAATAATCAAATAGCACGTTTTCGTCATAGTGTTTGAATCTTTAAGCCTCGCTGAGTGAATTACAATGGCACTGGACAGACTGGCTTGAAAAGCCACAGCCTACCCCAGCCTGTGGGAATGGCAGCTTACAACAGCATTGGGTAATGTGTTTTTAGTTTCGCATATTTACTTTGCTTAGAGGACTGTGGTCCCATCAGGGACATTAGGCTGCCGACAAGAGCTCTCTACAAATCCAGATCCTGGGCCAGTTTCTCCCGCTATCCCCGCATTACCCGACCTCTTTCTTCTGCCATCTCTCGGCGCCATGTGTTTTTGGTTGGCCTTGATTCCTCTTCGCTTGCAGATTCCAGCCCAGGGCTTGCCTGGTGATGCTGGCTGTTGGCTTTCGGGTTCTTAGTCAGTGTGGCTATTACGGTGTTGCTCTGCTTGTGTTTAGCCTTCAAGTACAGACAGCTGGGCCCGTAGAGGACTATGTCAACTAATATGAATTTTGCTGACACGAATCACGCATGGGAAGGACTTCAGGAACAAGTGGCTGCCCAAAAAAAACACAATAAAGAAGAGACCTAACCCTAACCCTAACCTGGACCCTACCCATAACCCTAATCCAAGCCCTAATCCAAACCCTACTGCCCTAACCCATGCCTCAACCTTAACTCTAAACTTTCTGTTCTATACTCTCTCTATTTCATAGTGGTCGCTCGTTACGGAATTCCTTCCCACGCATGTTTCATTTTGATTACTCTTAACCTTCACATGGGATGCGCTCTTCTAAAAATAAAAGTAATTTTTGAAAAGTTTTGATGGTCCCTGATACTGAGACAGATATTTCTTTAGTTGTAATGTAAGTTGCTATTTCATGTGAATTTCAGAAATTCTGAATAATTTGCTGTTTTTTCCTTTTTTTACAGGTGTTTGCACAGAAAGGTAACCTGAATGTCCATTTAAAAACCCACTCAGGAATCAAAGAGCATGCTTGTACACAATGCAGTAGGAGCTTTGTGAGCAGTGGGGACCTCAAGAGGCATCTTCGAGTACATTCTAAAGAAAAGCCTTTCACTTGTATAGAATGTGGCAAGTCCTTCACCGCCAGTAGTTCTCTAGTCTGTCATATGAGGGTGCATACTGGTGAGTTGTCAGAAAATACAATTTTATAATGAAAGGAACCCCATACTCTTGCTTGATACTTGTCTTTAGTTTTACATCAGTATTCTACTTTGCCATGCCTGCTTTATCATTGTCCTGTCTTCCAGACATATATACAGTCAAACCTGTGTAAGACGGCCACCCATTGTCAAGGAGAAAAGTGTCCGTATAAGACAGGTGGCTGTCTTAGGCAGGACTGATCAAGATAAAGGAAACAAACCTTTCCCATCTGAGGCCCCAATCGAAAGTAGCCCCATTGTTGTTGTCTTTGTTGTTGTTATTGTTGTTGGTTTGTATTTCGTTTGTAATTTTTATTTTGTCGCTGATTTTGCACAATGGTGACAATAAAGCGAAATGTATCAGACAAGGAAGACCGAGTGCCATGTTAAAACAAACACATGGGTCGCCACCACTCGGAGAACGAGGGACGCTTCTGTAACAAGTTCATGTTGACGTCCTTTGTTACTTTGTTACAGACTGGGTAAACAGTAACCACTCATCTCACTTACGATTTGTGTATGAGTTCTGGGCGGGGCTTATGGGTTAAGAGGGATCACACGCTTACCTTACCAGCAGCTGAAAATTGGTAGCTATTGGTCAACAGTGGGAGGGGCCTACGCAACATGATGGGTTGGAGGGACTACCTAACAACAACGACAGGTGATTGAATTATGACGGCTCGCCCACAACGCCAGGGGCCAATGCACAATTTATGACAAAGCGTAATGGAGTCACTAAGGTGACCGTCTTAGACAGGTATTATTGCTTAGTATTATAGGGGTTGTGTGTTAAATTATTGTGGCTGCGGCCGCGTTGGACAGGTACCCGTTTTACGCAGTTGAATTATATAGAAAAAACGCAAGGGGGGAAATGGAAAGTGTCCGTTTGTACAGGTGACCGTCTTATAGAGGTGGCCGTCAGGGCAGGTTCGACTGTATATATATATATGTGTCATGATGTGGTGGAATCAGGCGCTCGTCAATTTTTGGGCATGTGAAGTTATTGGTTTCATGTTAAAGTTTGCTCAATTGTCTTATCATGGAAAAAAATACCCATCTTTGTTCAATAAAAGTCAAGATATTTGAGTTTAAAGAAGTTGGGGTCGCCTGGTTTCAAAGGTAGAAATATAGAAAAAATGGCTGCGAAAGTCTGGTTATTTCCGTAGCTTGATAGTCCGTGGAAACTGAAAACGTACATTATTTGTGTCTTTCATTTACGTTTTTCAATAAAATCCACACAGAAATGTGTTCTTAATTGGACAACAATGGTGTTAAGCCAAAAAACAGAAATTTGATAAAAATTGCTGAACTGGCAAAAAAAAAAAGCCAGTTTCTTCAATATCATTATTTTGACGAGCACCTGATTTCATCACGCTGCCTCACATAAATGTGTTTCTCCCAGGTCTGGTAAGTCTATGATTTTGTGTTTAGATGTCCTGATTCTCGTTTTCCTGGAAAACAGTAAAAAAATCCGCTTGATGGTTTTGAATGGCTTTCCTGAAAGGATTCTCTGCTAAATCTCTTGAATAGTTGGCTACTGGTTGTTCAATCTCTTGTGCTACTGATTTTTTTGTAAATGTGACCGTTTTGCCAACATAGTAGGGTTTGGCTTCAGGTCTGGCAGCCACATTCCAATTTTGAAGGTACTCTACACGTTTTTATACTGCCTAAAGTAGTTTCAGTTTTGGTAGGAATTTTGAAATTTGCTCATGTGGCAGCCGAAGCCTACTCTGATCTTATCAATTTTAGGACCACCAGGGGATTTTTAATGTTTGCAACTTGCGCACGGGACTTCTGAGATTTTTTCACCCATGTGTGTGTGTGTGTCTGTGTATGTGTGCATACATGTGCGCACGCGTTCGTTTGTGTATGTGTATGTGTTGCAAGCATTCTCATATGACTTTGTGATGACCTCTCATTGTTGCACATTTGCGTTGGTCTTATGCAACTTGAATCAATGCTTCTCTTTACATAGACCGTCTCCATCTCTCTATCTTCTCTCTCTGTTTATTTCATGCAACAATTACTATCTCAGAAGAGGTTTTCTTAAATAAAGGACATGAAAAACTTTCGTTTCTAAAATAGTTTTGTGACCAAGCATTTTTTTCTGTTTGTTTTCATTTTCATCAAGATGAATTTTTTTCCTCTTTCAGGTGAGAGGCCGTACATTTGCTCCGAGTGTGGTGCTTCTTTTAGTGTACTCAGTCACCTTAAGCAACACAACAAAATACATGAAAGGGGAGACTTATGGCCGAGAAAGAAAAAAACTTTTCAGACCAGAGACAAATCCTTGACCAAGAAAACTCAGAAAGGTAATCCTTCTTTAACCCTATCCGTACGTCGTGGTTTACTATCGTATCCATACGACGCGGGGAACTCTGTGCCACCACATTCAAAGATGAAATTTACTCCTTAATCTGATCTATACGCTTTGCATAGCAGTCTGTCAAAATGGTTTTTTGAGAAATACGGTACTGAAAGTTTCAAAGAGATCTTCGTACTAGAAGTATTTTAAAATGTGAAGAATACAACCCCAGGGGTACAAAATGACCCCAGGGCGTACATGTAGGGTTAACACCTTTCTCAAGCAATGCAATTGCATTTGACTATCCTAGATCATAGCTATGTTTAAATAAGAGAGGCATATAACTCTTTTGGACCTGATGTGGCATAGGATAGGTGCTATACAAGCTGACCAATGCAAAATTTCTGGCACGGTTTGAGTTTGATAATCACAGTTTCGCTCACATCCAAATCATTTGTGTCGTCAGTCAAGTCCTTACCAGAGTCTGTAATGTAATAGTTAGACTCTCCAACATTGTACTCAAATGACATGAGACTGATTCCCACTTGTGGAAGTTTACTTTGCAGAGTGCCTCTGTATTTCTGCTGTTAACTGTATTCCACTCAGATCAGATTGACTCTTGTTTTAGTATTGTTTTAGTAGAGGTTTTACGGTGCTCGCAACTGCATAAGGTCATATGAGTGCCTGAAGATTAGAGGTGTTACAAGAGAGTAACAAACATAAAAAAGAAGGAGGGGAGATAAGGATGATAGATGTTTGATAGGAAAGAAGAAGCAAACCACACCAGAGCACCCGCCAACCACCCACAGATTGACTCTAGTAACAGGTAGGGTCAAAGTATCTAAATCAGGAGTCTCATATCCAAGCTGCTAGAGGTGGAGTCTGGGTAAGTCAAGGCTGCATGAGTATTCCACAAAAAAAAAGGGTTTCAAAAATTATTTAAAATACAAAAAGGACAACTGGTCTAATCTTTCAATATTTATTAACTCAGTTGGACACATGAACTGTTCTTCAAAACATAAGCTTCTGTTACTTACTCCTTGCTTCCAAAGACCTGGCATTGCTTCTTTTTATAACATAGCTCAGCCATATTTTGCTTGAGGGAGGAAGCAAACGATACTCTCAGTATGACTTAAAGATGCTCATCAGTAAATTTGGATCTGTACATTGACCTATTGACTCACTTGAGCCTGAGCTAGTTTTCACCCAACAACCATTGCAGCCTGACAATTTTGGGGTTTTTGAATTGTTTACTATACAAAGACTGAAAGCTATCATAATACAAAAAATGCAACACGTGAAATCATCACCATCATCATCATCATCGTCATCATCATCAATGCCTTTCACCCCTGGCAGGGTATAGGTCACATACAAGCTCCTTCCATTTATCTCTGTCCTGGGCCATCCTTCCAAGTTTGTTCCAAGTGAGCTTCATCTCTCTCATTAAAGAAATGCTCCCACAGAAAAAAAAGCTGCATCTAATTTGTCTGAAAAGTTTTATTTTATAAATATTTTGAAATGGCAGTGTCTGGAGCTTACGCATTTATGGGGGGCCCAATTTAAGATAAAATCATCTATCGCTATGCAGGGGTGACTGACTTAGTTCGTTACAGCTAAAAAAGTATCACACATAACTTTACCAAATTTTTAAGGAAACGAAACAAGTGGGTCGACTGTTTGCTCGCCGCTTCCCTTAGCTTGTAACCGAAAAACACCGGAGATATCGATCAATAAAGGGCATACCATAGTATACTCGGGATTAGACCACCGGGCCAGCAGCGTCTCTGGTAAATACACAGGAATAGGCTCAAGTGAGTTAAAGTTAATGGTGGAGAAGAGCTTTACACTCAAATGATAGTGCTATCAAAAAGGCAAAAATGTGCAAGTGAAGAAAATGTACACGCCATATTAACTCAAAACTTTGATGTCAAAAAGGGGCTGCAAAAAATCATCCTGTGGACCTCAAATGGTCTGCAGGCTGTGAGTTTGAAACCCCTGATCTAAAATGTGTCAGAGGAGAATAAAACGTTTAAGATCAAATGAGGTCAAGTTGTCCGTCAAGGTCACAGTGCAGAGTACTAATATATTGATGCACTTTCAAAAGTTGAACAGTAACCATTAATATTAAACATAATATATGAATATTTCCTCAAAGTATTTCTTTTGCTTCAGTATACTTATTATAGTATATCGCGACCTCAGTGCTTTCTTGTCGTATCTCCTTTTGTTTAACAGTGAAAATGTGACATCTTCTTAAGCTCACTCTTTATAAGGAACTGTTTTGGCTGTTATTAAAAATGGAGATACGACAAGAAAGCCCTAGGGTCGCGATATGATTGTTGAAATGTTTCTATGGCCTCTGTGTCCAATTGTATGCTTGGCTCTGGCTACCTAACTCTACCTTTATCCTTCTGCACACTGAATGCTTGCCCTTGTGTGCAGCAGTCTTAATCTCTCAGCTATGCCCAAGGAGCTCAGGTGCTTGGAACTGATAAGTTCAGAAGGTCACCGCTCAAACGGTTTTATTGCAGCTGTAAAAATCACACCTTCAGGAATAAGGCCTCCAGGACTAACATTATTTTGTGATTTTTCTATTCCTCAGATGACTCAAGAAATGTACAGAGTGAATCTTCAGCACGCAGCTCCCAGCTCGATGTATGTCAAGGACTTTCCAGTCTTACCAATAGGCTGGACCAGTCAGAAAACACAAATTGCTTATATCAGCATCACTCGCAAGATGGACTTCTTTTCTCTGGACCTGATAGTGTCACTAATTACTTTAAGAGCAGTTCTTTGTCTAACTCTCAGGTTGTGAACTTTACCGACCCCAATGCTGTGTGTTCTTCTGGTGACACTATAGCAGTTGTGATTCAGAACTCATTGGAAGCTCACACAGGTCTCATCGACAAAAACTTTGTTGATCAGCAACCTAACACTGATACTGATGATGACATTGGTGGACATATTGTGTCTCTATCATCAAGTACGTTGTGCCACGCAGATGTCAACAGGCATACTGAGATGTCATTTTCTTCCTTTGGTGTGGATGAAATTCAAATACTCTCTTACAGTGGCGGCAGTTTGAATGCTGATGATGTTTCTCGAGTTACATGTGCTCCTGTGGAGGGGAGTATACCCGAGTACATTCCGGATGTGTCATCACAAAAGCTGTAGCAGACTAGAGTAGGATAAATTGTTGTTTTTGTTGCGCATGTATCATTTTAACACATCATTGTGCCAGTAGGAAGTTGATTTGTACTAATTTTCACTATTTACAGGAACTGTGAATAAGTATATTGATTATAAATTATCATATTATTTTTACCTCAGTCCTTATCAAACTGAGGAGAGAGGTGGAGGTGGCCCTGGTTGAAAAACATAAGGGGTCTTTCTTGAAATTTATTTGTTTGGTAGTTTTCCTGGTTTTGTACTGACTCAGCACAATCTTGTCAGTGATGAATATTGAACCAAAGATTCTAGTTTTAAATGAAATAACCTTATGCGTTGTGTCAAAAGGGGTGTCAAACCATTTTCATCTTATACCAAACCAAATGTGTGGCGAGCTGCGAAAACCGTTCGGAAGTCGCTGTGCTTACTTTAGAGCTAGGCCGTCTCAAAGGTCATTTTGGGCTTTCCTATGAAAATTGAGATTTTTGCACCAATTTGTTATTCAACATCTTAACTTTCATCTCTAGAAATATTAAACAATACTTTGGGATGGAAATATGTCAATTTTAATTGTTTTCAGCATCACCCCCAACCGATATGATTAGCAAACACGGCTGATGGTGCTGAAGAGGACTCCGAAAATCCATCTCTTTTTGACCGACTTTTCCGAAAAGTATTTTGAGACAACCCCTACATATCATACATCGTTGGAAAGCTCAGTCTGTGTACTAGCGAATAAAAAGTAGTGCGCATACCTTGAACAAAGGAGCATGGAGTGCGCATCCAGATTAATGCGCCACTATGAATGTTTGTAGTAAAAATCAAGTGCCGAGTTTAAGCACCAATATGTGTCCATAATTGCCACAATTCTTACCTGAAATACACCCTTAAACTAAAAAAAACTACTGGAAAACTGTTAAGAGGCAATAGTTTGTTATTTTATCGAAATAAAGAGTAATAATTTGAAAGAACAGCATCTGAACCCTGACCCGTGCCCAGACCCCGCTCACTTTCAAAATGGCGAGTCCCAGTGGAAAGAGTGTTGAGACACTAGCTCGTCTGTTGAATTTAAACGCTACAGATACAGAAGCTTACCAAGAAGTCTTTGATGCTTATTTTGGTGACAGACAGGAATCGGAAAATGACTCAACTACTGATGAGGAGCAATCCAGTGATGGTAAGTAGTTTAAAATTGTTTTTTAAAGGCTCTTCCCAGTCTTTCTCTGTTTCGACATGATGCTTTGTTTACATTCTCACCCTGACTGTTTAATCATGATAAGTCATGACCACATATCAAAATGTAGATAGATTTAGATATAAGATGACCTCCTGTTCTGTAATAGATTCTGTTAGACCACCTTCAGTTTGTAGGTAAATTCTAAAGTAAGCTAAATCTAGATCTAGATCTAGACTTAAACTCTTCTTGTGTCCCAGACCCCTGAATTTCTGAAACATGTGTGCACCTTTTGTATTGTAATTGTTGATTAGAAACGCTGGCTACATTCTAGATCTAGATCTATAGAGCATTTGATTTTATCTTTTCCTTTAAATGTTAAACTTGTGTCATCTTAATTTATACATTGGCCCACAGGGGTAGATTAGATCAGTTTTCTCAGTGCCAGTAATAATAATAATAAAGTCAAGTAAACTTAACTTCGGTTGAGTGGTTGAGATTGTGCTGTGGACTATAAACCATTTGGCATTATCTTTTCCTTTAAATGTTAAGCTTTGTCATTTTAATTCATCATACATTGGCCTACAAGGGTAGATTAGATCAATTTTTCCAGTATAATAAGTTAAAGTAAACTTTACTCTGGTTGAGTGGTTAAGATTGTCCTACATTCCTACTGCAACTGCAAAATAAGCTGTTCTTAGAGCTAACACAAGTAAATGCTTTTCCCCAGATGACTCGGTCTGTGAAGTTCTGACGACTGAGCTAGACCTGTCAGAAAGGATCGTGCCTCTTGAACGCAAAAGACCCCATCTGTCAGCCATACCAGCACCCCCTTCACCGGACCAACCGAATTTGCACATCGACCCACCTTCCACGTCAACGAAAGGGCCTGTCCCATACCCCTGCTCCTGTAAGTCAACACCGTGTTACTCAAACTTTGATGCAGAAACAATCCAGGACATAAGACACCAGTACATTGCCTTAACAGACAAAGAACTTGACATAGCTGTGTTGTCAAAAATTTCGAGTGGCATTCATTTGGATTCTACTACCCGCAAATCACGAAAGGCAGTTCAAACAGAACGGAAAGCGTCACGGACGGATTACTTGCTCCATGGACACTGTATTTGCCGTGATTTCTTCCTGTACATCCATGACATTGGGCTTGGCAAACTGACAACCCTGATCAAGCATTACAAGGCCTGTGGTGTTGAAGCCCGTGTCCACAAGAGCAAGAAGCGACTTCCCCATAACACCCTGAAGTATGAGGACACCAGGAGGGTAGTTGACTTCATAATAAACTACGCAGAGATCCACGCCATAGAACTGCCAGGTAGAACACCCAGACACTGGATTACGAATGTTAAGTTGCTGCCCACACATTGTACAAAGACACTGGTATATGAATTGTATAAAACATCATCTGAGGAAGCAGGGAACCACTGTGTTCACATCTCAACCTTCAGGAAGCTGTGGAGACAGTTGGTGCCTTTTATTAGGACCATGCCTCCTGCAACAGATCTCTGCTGGACCTGTCAGAGAGGTATGCAGCAAATCCAGCTGTCAGCCAACAAGTCTGATGAGGAGAAAAGACGGTTGATAGACAATTTGAACTCTCATCAGGAGATCGTTCAGAATGAACGGTCATTTTACCAACACAGCTGTGAAATGGTAAAGGCACAACTACCGCCAGCCAGACTACCTGGACCCCATCCATACTGTTCCTTTCAAGGAAAAAATCACATTTCTTTTGACTTCGCACAGCAGACTCACTTTCCAAGTGATCCTCTTCAAGCTGGGCCAATTTATTTCAAGACCCCCCGGAAGTGTGGCCTTTTTGGGATAAATAATGAGGCGCTGGGAAAACAGGTGAACATTCTAGTTGATGAGGCTCACAACACGGGGAAAGGTGCCAACACAGTTGTGTCTTATCTTCATTTCTATCTAGAAAACTTCAGCCTTGGTGAGACAGAACTTCTTTTGCACGCAGACAATTGTGCCGGACAAAACAAAAATTCTGTTATGATTTGGTACCTCATGTGGCGATGTGGCACCGCTCGAAATAGGAATATTTGCCTAAGCTTTCTGATTGCGGGTCATACAAAGTTTAGCCCAGACGGTGGATTTGGCCTCATAAAAAGAAAATTAAAGGTAACAAAGGTTGATTGTTTGCAAGATCTAGTCAAAGTTGTAGATGCTTCGGCTGCTATGAACAAGGCCATTCTAGTGGGTACAGAAAATGGAGTATCTCAACTTCCCACCTATGACTGGACGACTTTTCTTTCAAAGTATTTTAGTAAGGTGAAAGGAATAAAAACCCTTCAACATTTTTCTTTCGACAACTCAGGAGTCATCACAGTGAAAAAACACAGCAATGCCCCTGAAACAGCCCAGGCCCTACAGAAAGCAGCTCTCCCTGGGCCGGGTGTTCTGCCGCCAGTAATACCGTCACCTGGGCTCAGCCTCAAACGCCAGCAATATCTCTTCAAAGAGATTCGTCAGTTCGTTTCCCCTCACTGTCAGGATGTTGTAACACCAGAGCCAACAGCAGTACCTGAAGACAGTGGCAGTGACTCCTCTGACAGTGAATATGAAATGCCAGCCAAAGTGACAAAAACTGTAGCAGGACCAGGCAAAGCCATCCGAGGTCGAGGTCGGGGACGCGGCCGCCGAGCCAAAACGGAGTAATCTATGAAACATCAATAATGTGGATATAAATACATCAACACCAGCTACAAAGGTAAGAAAACCTATTACATTTTGTCTACGAGTATGTTGTTGTGGTTACTGTAATAGTATATGTTGTGTTTTGTCCCTTTTGTTGAGCTCATATCAGCCAAAAACATTGCTCAAACTTTTAAAGCCGTTTTTCTCTTTTCGGATTTTCCCTGCCTTGCGTGATAAAAACTGCAATATCTCGGAAACTATAATAGATAAAACCCTCCAAATAAAAAGCGAAATACTCAGGGGAAGCTGTAGAATAATATTAGGTAGAAATCTCAATTTTCATATTTGGACCCATGTGAATGGTTTTTGCAGCTCCCCACACAAATTACATGGTTAAGTCCCTTCATTGATGTTTTTTTAAAAAGTGCAGGCAGGGGCAAGAGTGTCCAAGTCCCAAAGCAGGAGAAAATTTTGTGAAATCGGTTGAAATACCCAAGTTTTCAAAAGTGAGACTAAATCTGACACTCGCATATTATGTCACCCAAGGGAATTTCATGAAACAAATTAGATCTATATCAATTGCTTCCAACTGGGCTGACAACTTTAATTTTCAAGATGGGCAGCTTTGTTTTTATCAATTAATTGTCAACTCATCGCGGGCCACATTGGTTGATTACTGGCTTGACTGCACACCAGACTGAAACTGCTTGCGGGCTGGATCTGGCCTGTGGGCTGCAATTAGCCTATGCTTGGTTCAGTTGGATCCCTCTCACTCTCAGTCTCAAGTCATTGAAAATGTATGAAGCAATTATACTGATGATCTGCATTCTGTGATACAGAGTGCAGTGTAGTCTCTTTAGAAAGCATGTACCAAAGTCTTTCAAAATGTTATGTTCAAATATACATAATTTAGGCATTCTCCAGCATGACATTTATTGTTGTTTGATTTTTATAAATTCATGTATGAATGTAACTGTTTTTGGTACAACAGCATCCCTATCTTTTTGTCTCTTGCCAGTCATCTGTCTGGGATGCTGTATCTGTTTCAGCCCAGGTCCACCACAAGATCTATTGTATCAATGGGGGTGGAAAACATTTACAACCAACCTATCTACATGACTCAAATGACTTATTGTGAGAATGTGCTTCCCTTGAATGCATTGAATGAACAGGTCAAGTTACTCCAGTATGAGGTTTTCGGGTGGGAGTGGGGGTAGGAGTAGGAGTGAAAGAAGTAGCAGATAGATACTTTGCGCGCCAGCAGGAGGTATAACCCCTGCAATAGTTTTTCCTTCAAATTAGTCTTCTGATGATCTATTCATCTGCGGAGGAGACTTTTTCTGAAGCTAAACAGAAAAATAAAGATTAAGATGAGTTATGGCTTTTGCTATGGCCAATGAGATCAATTGTGCCACAGCAGAATTTGCCATTTTGTGAGCATTTGAGAGCTTCATTTCCCCTTGTGGATGTGCGCATCTTGCAGGCTTCTTTCTTGGCTTCAGCATTTCTAATTTGTGAAGCCCCATATGATTTGCTTTCCTGTGTGATTGCTGCACTCCAATTGGGTTTGTCAGGAATAAGGCTTTTCCATGTCAAAGGATTTTAATGTTGAAGTGCTTCGGAGACATTTTTGTGGATGGTTGGCAGGCACTCAAGTGTGGTTTGCTTCTTCTTTTCTATCACATGATCGTCTTTATCTCTCCTGCTTTTTTTCTTTGAATGCTTCTCTCCATGGTGTAGAGGTTAAGTGCTTTGCTGACCATGGGTGGTTGGCGGGTGCTCTGGTGTGGTTTGCTTCTTCTTTCCTATCAAACATCTATCGTCTTTATCTCCCCTCCTTCTTTTTTGTGTTTGTTACTCTCTTGTAAAACCTCTAGTCTTCGGCACTTAAATGACCTTATTGTGTTGCAAGTGCCGTAAAACACACACAAAAAAAGCTTTGCTGACTCACGCTTGGAGACTCAAGTTCGATTTTTAAATAAGGAGAAACTTTAATGGGTATCTTGGTCTTTCTGCTGAGATGTTGCATCCCTCTCAGCCCGGGTTGGCAGGGTTGAAGCTCACCTCCGAAATGATCCAAGTTGTGTCGATGGGGGTGTAAAACTTCTACCATTACATTTAACATTACTCTCTTAGACTCTCTAGTGATAAAACCTTCAGTCTTGTGCACTTATTTTAAGATCTATTTGTGTTTGCAAGTGCCGTAAAACTGTTACTGAAAGTAAACTAAAGAGACATTTCCTAGGTGTCTTTGTGCGCTTTTTTGGTGCACCAACCTTACGCTTCCCTGAGGACGACCCAGAATGGAAACTGCTTTTAGGATTCTAACATCAGGCATTCATAGGACATGGCTAACCCTATGAAGTTGAATCCTGAAAAACGCTTGTAGTGGCAGAATAACACGTGAATAAGCTTGCCCAGATGGTGGGTGGTTGACTGGCGCTCTGATGTGGTTTGCTCCTTCTTTCCTATCAAACCTCTAGATCATTCTTATCTCTCCTTAAGTTAAATAAAGCCTTCTTTTCTATGTTCTTTACTCTCTAGTAGTAACACCTCTAATCTTCAGCACTTGTATATGACCTGTTTGTATTGCAAGTACCATAAAACTCGTATTAAAAAGACCAAACACAACCCCCTTCCAAAAAAACTTTGCGCCCAGATGTACCATTGATAAATTTTAAGTTAGAATCTGGTTGCCTTGTTTCTTTCCTTTTTCTTTTTTGTTTACTCAGACTGACCATTTGACAGAGTGCTCTGCTTCTGAAATGATCTATTTGGGTCTATCGAGGTTTAAACTCAAACAAAGACAGAAAGGAAAAAGAAATCTCCCTGTTACGCACTGGTGTAACATTGTGTATTTGGTATTCGTTTTAAGTATATTTGTGTATTTTAATTATGTATTATGTATGTATGTGTGTTTTACATTGCAACCAAAAATTTTTCTTTGGGATGAATAAAGTATAATTAATTGTAATGTAATGCAATATTTTGTATGCGTTTTATCTCTTTCCTTGAGGAATTCATAATATTTTCAGATGTTAGAACTGTGATGTCAAGTGGTTAGGCTACTTGACTCAAAATTGTGTGTTTGTGGATTCAGGGGCTCAAGGCTCAATTTGGTCTGACATACAATGTAGGCTACTGTTCTTGGGACAAACACTTTACAATTTTCCTGACTTCACCTAAACGTGAATTGGTGTCCAGCCATAGACAGCCAAATAATGAAATATGTCAATATGACAGTGTTTTTACACCACTAAAATGTCAGATAGTATCAAACGCTTCCGAGGAAGATGATATTTTTTTCTAATTGCTTTCAGGTCTGCTGATATTGTGAAGCACACATATATATATAGCTTCCTGTTAATTGGGATTTTTGACAATGCAAATGCTATTTGTTTATTATTGTTATTATGACTATGATGTCACATCTCTGTTGAAGAAGAGGAAGCTAGAGACATTACCCTGCAATCAGCTGTATCTTTAGTTAGAAAGTCTTTCCCAACCATACACAGAAAAATGATAGAAAGGCTCAATATATAATTTATGCTTAACTTTTACAGACATAGTTTAAATTGCACAGCTAGGTGGGGAAGCCTTTTGCCGAGTTTCAAGCCCTTGCTCATGGCCCTAAAAAGTGGTGCGGTCTGGTACACAGACCATCAAAGTGGCATCTTGCAGACTCTGCCAAGGATGAAGGTGCAAGGAGAAAGCCAAAATGACACATGATCAACTCATAAGTTAAGTGCACAATGAGAAAAATGACAAAAAAAGGAAGCTTGATTCTAGTTCAACATTTGCCTTTTATTCATTATTGAATTCTCGTTTCATCAACCGAATGCTTTTAGTGTCATTTTCTGGTAGAAAGTCCAACTTGGTGGGTGTACAGGATTGAAAATGTACTCAGTGACTGACCCTTGCTCATATGTCTTATGAGCGTGAAGTACAACAAATAGTCTCAAGTAACAAGAAATAGTTGCAGATTACCAGTTGCCAAGTCGGCTAATTCTCTTCTTTTGTACTTGTTCAAGCCAGTGGGGTTGCCCTCTAATCATTAACACCGGAGTCGCAGAGTGAATAGTCTGCTGTCTGTTTTTATCTCTCTCTCTCTCTCCCGAAGGTGTTACAGTTCATGGCATAGTTTTGCTTCACAACTTTGCACGGACACGTAAAACAAAACATCTTACCCACTGACATGAGTGCTATCTACTGGACACTTACACGAGCACAGGCTAAAAAGAATTGACGATTGAGATTACAAAAACATAATAACAAAAAATCAATGAGATTGTCGGCTCTTTCAAGGCTCTAGTTTGTTTCAAATTGAAGTGAAATGGAGCCCCATTGGGTATTCCAAGATATGATTGATGTTCTATAACTAATTCAGTACTAGAGCGTGCTTGGAAAATTTCACGCTATGTATTTTTTTTTCTCCATTTCTAGTTTCAGTAAATGAATTACTCTTTCTTTGTTGTGAGGAAGGAGGAAAAGCTCCCCACAAAAGCATCTAAATAAATTCATGTACATGTAGTATAATGATATCTTTTTGAATTTGAGTGGGAGCAGGAGGGGGGAGTTGAGAAAGTATTTGAAAGAGTCGACGCTCATATAACTGCCAATAAATGAATGCCATTGTGTGTGTGAATCTCAAACAAAATCAAATTAAAAAAAAAAAAATATGAGGAATCCCCAGTTGATGCGAAAATAACAGAAATCATGATACTAGTGGAGGAACCGGTATAACAACGGTTATCGTATCCAGATGGACACCCACAACGTAACTTAGAACCAACAAAGGGAGAGATCGGGAAATGAGTAAAGTAAAAGTTGTCAAAATGAAATCACATATGAAAACATTATGATTGTATCCCTACGGCTGCTGAAAATGGGTTAAAATTTGTTCCGTTATCACAGTCTCTTGCTCCTCAAATCTTTTAATAAAACAATCTTTATTTCCAACAACAAAAAATAAAAGGGCCACGTCTCAGTGGTTTATGTTGAAAAGCTCAGGTAGGGGTAACATACTCTGTGCTAGTTTTGAATGAAGTAAAATGTTCAAATTGAACTACTCAAAAAATTTAGGAGAAATGTTATGTGGAATGAAAAGGAAACGATAAATATAGGACAAACACGATAGTTGCAGAGGAATGAATTATTTCATGATGTGGATTTGTGTACTTATTATTTTTGAGTAAACACATTTGTTTCTATGTAGTTCTCTCTATGTGTGTGTTGTGTGTGTGTGTGTGTGTGTGTGTGTGTGTGTGTGTGTGTGTGTGTGTGTGTGTGTGTGTGTGTGTGTGTGTGAACTGGAATACTTGACACGTAATTTTTTACTGTTATAAAACGCGCCCATCTAACTAACCCCTCTTCAGGGAACAGGTCTTCAATAAAAACATTTTTTTTTAAATTGAAAAGGTCTGAGAACAGCAGGGTGCTTTACTTAGTACCGTAACAACACTTTGGTTTATGTCAAAATCCTTTTAGGAGAATGTGGACAGTGACAGGGATTAACACATAGTGGAATATCATATTGCTGTATAGGTGAGCACACGCTGAACCCATGTGCTATAATATACACAATAGAAGAACGATACATCTTGAGCTGGGTAATCACTCTCCACATGGGGCGAATAGGGCTGGCGGTGGGAAAATACGATGGGGGGAAAAGAGATAAACAGAACAGAATAACTTCATGAGAGTGTAGTATGACCTTGTCAAATGATACAGAGAACACTTATTATATTATGACTATTTATGACAGTTCAATACTGAAAGTAATGTTTACCATAACTGTAACTGTAATAATAATAATGACGATGATAATAATAATAATAATAATAATAATATAATAATAATAATACATAATAATAAAAATAATAATATTGATAATAATGATAATAGTGATAATAATGATAATAATATAACAAAGGGGTAATAATAATCATAATAACGATGATAATATGTATAAACAATAATAATGATGTTGATTTAGATTCAAAATTTAACACGATTACTTTCAGCCTTTGTTCTTTCATGATGTCAGTATGCGCTTAAGTCTCAGAAGGGGGCTAAAAATTGAATGTTTTCCATTCCAGAAAGTTCACGTGTTCTGTCCACGAGCTTTGTTTTCAGACAAGACCCAAGGATTTGGTACGTTTCTTTATAATGTATTTGAACAAATAACTTCTAACCATATTCTTAAATCTAAAAAAATAAACCAAAAGTAATCATGATACTAGTGTCAACATAACAATTAAAAATGATAAAAGCGATTGTGAAATATAATCTATTGCACTGGCAGTAGAAGAAAGAAAACATGGTAATGAAAACACAGTGTTCAGTGAAACAAATTGTGAAAACAGCTTGAAAAAAAAAGTCGTTTGTGACTATGTTTTGGAAAAGTAGATCTAGATTCTACATGTAAAGTGTTAGGAGTAAAAAAAATGTGTCAACAGTATATGTGCCTCCATATACTGATGTTGAGTTTTGTAAATGAACAGGACCTGCACGTTGCATTTACACAAAACACACCCCAATTTATGCGCTATAAGTACAAAGTAGAGCATTTTGGTCCCAAAGCCCCACTCCCCCACCCCTCTTTTCTCTGAACCCACCCACTCAACAATTAAAAACAATGGAATGAACTTCCTAATCGGCTTAAAGTTTACAACTGATAAATTAAAAACAAAATGTGTTGCTATTTTTACCATGAATTGAAATAAAGGTAAAAATTCAAAGTTGTTCAACCCCCCATAGTTTACTGGTGCAATGAAAGGGTTGAACCTGCGCATATTTATTGCTGACACAGAGCCGTGAACACACTCGCATGCACACCCATAGTCATACACACAAAGTTGAATCTTGTGCGGTATCTGTAATTTCATTTTTACAGGATGGGGGGAGAAAGTAATTTGGATTTGAGGAAATGTGAATGATAATAAATTCTGCACAACCATTGATGTGAATGCGTTCAGGATTTGTTTACTGTAGAAAAAAAGTTGTTACTTCTAATTAATATCACAAATCTAACTGCGAAAAGTATTTGACCTGTTTGAACAAGTGATTGTAGCGTCAGGACAAAAATGTTGTTGAATAGAATTTGAAAAAAAAGTAAAAACCGAATCAAACCAACTGGCTTTTGAAGTGTAAACAAAGAATCACCAACACGAACAAAATTACATGTGAACTTCATGTACATGAAAGGTGTAGAAACAGTGTAACATCCACTTCAAAATAATGTGACGCCATCAGCTCTACGAGCGAGGGGCTGGAGGAGTAGCAAGTTGACAAGATGGCGCACGGCTCACAGGAAACGGAAGTTAGCCACTTGTCTGCTTTGCATCGCCTCGCAGTCAGATGAGGAGTTTTCACTCATCGATGACGCCACTCTCGTGGGCACGGCGGACAAGGTATAGCTTTTCTTGTTTGTCTTTGTCTGAAAGAAAATAATACCAATTCAAGTACACAGACGATTTTACGCGCTTAACAATCATTTTTTAAAAAATCAACGGAGATAAAAAGTTTTAGAGCAGTCATGAAAACCCAGACTTCTTCTGTCTACAACAAAATATATTATACATATTATATATATATAATATTGTAAACTGATAAGACATTTTGTTATAGTCTATTATTTTAAGTCTTAAGTGTTTTTTAACATCCTACAAGACACATATGATAATTCCCAGAATGGCGCGACTGAACATCACGACACTACTTACTTAAATCAACTTCCAAACAGAAATTGGAGATACTCGATGAGCTAAATTTCCTTTTTGTGGAATCGAGGTGTTGCACGGTATGGTATGAGTTCAAGACATTTCTTACACTACAAGCTTATTTAAGAGGTGGGACCTCCTATTTAACCCTATCCGTACGCCCTGGGGCCATTTTGTACCCCCGGGGTTGTATTCTTCACATTTTAGAATACTTGACTTATAGTACGAAGATATCTTTGAAACGTTCAGTATTTATAAAAAAAATCATTTTGACAGACTTCTATGCAAAGCTTAAGGATCGGATTAACGAGTAAATATCCTCTTTGGAAAGTGGTGGCACAGAGTTCCCCACGTCGTATGGATACGATAGTAAAACATGACGTATGGATAGGGTTAAACATCCATCTCAGAGAGGACTAATCTGTAGATGGAGAGCTTTGAAAACTTCCCCAACAATCCAATTTAAAAAAGACGTCACAATTTGGATTAAACCGGGTCATCGGCATCATAGTATAGCCCAGCATGATACCTACTGGCATAATAAAGGCGCGCTCTCTAGTAGGCCTCAAACGTTATTATCTCTCTATCGTTTCTGCCTTTTCTTTCTCTGTTTCCTCACCACAAAACCATCGCTACTGTGTTGATACATGTATTATTTTTAAAAATATATCAATGTCAAACAAGCTTATATACAAATCCTCAAAGGGTGGCTCTCAAGCCCCCTCCAAAAAAGGAATATGCAGAATATAAACCTTTACAAAACAACAACAAAAAAGATCATTAATATGTTAAACCTGAAACAATTAAACATAAAATGAACCTTCCCCCGGACTATAAAGGCTTCCAATCTCTCTCTCTCTCTCTCTCTCTCTCTCTCCCCCTCCCC